CTTTGTGACTGAGGACAAGCTGAATTTTATTCAATCGACAAGAGGCAAGGGAATATACTGACTGTATTCACCGAGAGGTGTATTCTACTTCTGTATATATACTGGGAGTTTACGTCAGTCCTGTACCATGGTCCTCTACATGGTAGAGGACCATGTAAACCTCTACATGGTTTACTTCAGTCCTGTACCATGGTCAGGACTGAAGTATACTTTACTAGTTGGTCAGTCATCTCGTGTAGTGGCCCTAATTGTCGTCCTGCAAGTGATAAGCTCAACAAAATAAACTTAATGCCCAGGAATTTTTAACCCATCGACCACAGCTCCAAAATTTCAGCGTTCTTGTCAAACTCAAAAATACCGTAATGACGTCGTTTACATGGACTAATGATTATCCGCTTCGATATCTTAGACGCCGTAGTTTAAACGCTTAAGCTTCGACAAAACCACTTCAAGTTTTACGTCTGTTAAATGGTGAGAACGACGTAGTGAGACGAGAGCTGTGAGCGTGGTGAGAGTGCAGGCCAGGTGAGGCCACTACCACCTTGGTGACTAATTACCTGGTGATGTTGGTGACTTGTTGTGGTGCTGCCCCCACCCCCCCCCCCGTCTCAGGGGGGGCGGTCCCCCCCGTCTCAGGGGGACGCGATCTCCCCATTTCCATATTTTGGCTCAAACCTTGAAACTCTTTCCTCAAGTTTTTTTTTTATAAATAAAACATTTGATTTGACATTTTCATTCACATTGATCCACGTATGTCTTGTGGCCTACAACTACCACGGTTTGTTTTATCCTCCTGATTTACAAAAGTTCACACACACACACACACACACACACACACACACACACACACACACACACACACACTACGGGGCCTCGTAGCCTGGTGGATAACGCGCAGGACTCGTAATTCTGTGGCGCGGGTTCGATTCCCGCATGAGGCAGAAACAAATGGGCAAAGTTTCTTTCACCCTAAGTGCCCCTGTTACCTAGCAGTAAATAGGTACCTGGGAGTTAGTCAGCTGTCACGGGCTGCTTCCTGGGGTGTGTGTGTGTGGTGTAGAAAAAAAAAAATATAGTAGTTAGTAAACAGTTGATTGACAGTTGAGAGGCGGGCCGAAAGAGCAAAGCTCAACCCCCGCAAAACACAACTGGTAAACACAACTGGTAAACACACACACACACACACACACACACACACACACACACACACACACACACACACACACACACACACACACACACACACACACACACATATTTTCAAGGGCCACAAATCTTTGTTCTTCACAAAATACAACAATGCCACAATTCCGGTGGCCGCTGAGACAATGTGGTAGTGGCGGGGCTGACCAGGGCGAGGCAGGTGTCCCAGTGTCCCACACAGGTTCCCAGGGGGCAGCACAACACTGGCAGGGGCCGCCACACCCCCGCTTGTGGCTTACCTCAACACAGCCCCGGTCTGTCTCCTCTCTCCAGCCTGGTGGGTGCAGCTCCTGGGACCCGCCTCTCCCCTGTGGCCTGGTGGGTGCAGCTCCTGGGACCCACCTCTCTCCTGTGGCCTGGTGGGTGCAGCTCCTGGGACCCACCTCTCTCCTGTGGCCTGGTGGGTGCAGCTCCTGGGACCCACCTCTCTCCTGTGGCCTGGTGGGTGCAGCTCCTGGGACCCGCCTCTTTCCTGTGGCCTGGTGAGTGCAGCTCCTGGGACCCGCCTCTCTCCTGTGGCCTGGTGGGTGGAGCTCCTGGGACCCGCCTCTCTCCTGTGGCCTGGTGGGTGCAGCTCCTGGGACCCACCTCTCTCCTGTGGCCTGGTGGGTGCAGCTCCTGGGACCCACCTCTCACCAGTGGCCTGGTGGGTGCAGCTCCTGGGACCCTCCTCTCTCCTGTGGCCTGGTGGGTGCAGCTCCTGGGACCCACCTCTCTCCTGTGGCCTGGTGGGTGCAGCTCCTGGGACCCGCCTCTTTCCTGTGGCCTGGTGAGTGCAGCTCCTGGGACCCGCCTCTCTCCTGTGGCCTGGTGGGTGGAGCTCCTGGGACCCGCCTCTCTCCTGTGGCCTGGTGGGTGCAGCTCCTGGGACCCACCTCTCTCCTGTGGCCTGGTGGGTGCAGCTCCTGGGACCCACCTCTCTCCTGTGGCCTGGTGGGTTGAGCTCCTGGGACCCGCCTCTCTCCTGTATCCAGGTGGGTGCAGCTCCTGGGACCCACCTCTCTCCTGTGGCCTGGTGGGTGCAGCTCCTGGGACCCGCCTCTCTCCTGTGGCCTGGTGGGTGCAGCTCCTGGGACCCACCTCTCTCCTGTGGCCTGGTGGGTGCAGCTCCTGGGACCCACCTCTCTCCTGTGGCCTGGTGGGTGGAGCTCCTGGGACCCGCCTCTCTCCTGTGGCCTGGTGGGTGCAGCTCCTGGGACCCACCTCTCTCCTGTGGCCTGGTGGGTGCAGCTCCTGGGACCCGCCTCTCTCCTGTGGCCTGGTGGGTGCAGCTCCTGGGACCCACCTCTCTCCTGTGGCCTGGTGGGTGCAGCTCCTGGGACCCGCCTCTCTCCTGTGGCCTGGTGGGTGCAGCTCCTGGGACCCGCCTCTTTCCTGTGGCCTGGTGGGTGCAGCTCCTGGGACCCGCCTCTTGGGACAGGCTGAGCAGACCTTCACAGGAACTCTCTCCACTATTATTTAATATTTATCGTTCTTGCTATCTTCTTGATAACGATTAGGGAATTATTTTGAATAATGTTTTGTATGACAAACTTGGTAATAAATGAATTAGGAGAAAATCAGCAATTTTTTTATCGGCCTTACTAGTACCCCAGTAATTGTAGTCATAGCATTATTAACAATATTATTATTATTATTATTATTATTATTATTATTATTATTATCAATAATATTCAGTGAATATTAATATTAATATTTATTTAACATTAATATTTATTTATTTTTAATTTAATACTCGTTTAATATTCATTCATTAACATATTCATATAACATTAATATTCATTCAACTTGCTGTTCATTCATAACGGGAATTTTCTCAAATATAAATTAATATTATAATATATTAGCATATTGTGCATATCTAGGCATAGGTTAGGTTAGGTTAGGTTAGGTTAGGTTAGGTTAGGTGTTTAATAGGTTCTGTTGGCGATTATTTGTATTTGTAGTACGTGGGTGAAGTATTTACAGCGTTGTGATTCGAACAAAAGTCGTCAGTGCAGCACTTGTTCCGGAAGTGTTCGAACTCATCACTTGTGAGTCGTGTGTAAACAGTTTTTCATTCATAAACAGTATAGGGTTTGGCGGGTGGATGGAATCACTTTTGGGTCATTGGAGGATGGGCTGCGCTATGGATCTCTCTATCCAGCTGTGGTGATTCCTGCACCATATTCAGTTTCTAATTTGTATTCGTTGTCTAGCGGTAGACCTTATCGTAAGTGCTATATAGCCTATAGCCTTACACTGTTATATTTCCGGCTGAGATAACATATATCGCTGTTGCCATAGAGTAAACAGGGCGTCAAAAGATGGGTCTCTACTCTTACAGTTGTGTGTGTCAAGGAAGGTGACACATGGACCGTGTCAAGGAAGGTGACACATGGACCGTGTCAAGGAAGGTGACACATGGACCGTGTCAAGGAAGGTGACACATGGACCGTGTCAAGGAAGGTGACACATGGACCGTGTCAAGGAAGGTGACACATGGACCGTGTCAAGGAAGGTGACACATGGACCGTGTCAAGGAAGGTGACACATGGACCGTGTACCACTTTTTAACACCATTCCCAAACTATCAATTTTGGCTCTGCTCTCGACAGCTCAAGGTTTTACAGTGTGTGGCAGTCAGCTAACGTAAACGTACATACAGGGTTGAGGACTAGCTCCTGAGCCTCGCCTTACCAGCAATCGATATTCTAGTGCAATGTCTGGCGATCCTCAGGCTTCTTATCTTCTTTTGAACTTGTGTTGAATTAGCTAGCACTCTCTCCCCCTGACTCATCACAGGTGTTCATCACTATTAAGCTCCAGACTCAGCATTTCTATTCTATTCACACTGTCGATTTTCAATAAGAATCTAATTACTGTTTATTGTTATATCTGTGGTGTGCATCTCCTCAGTTCCTGTACAACCCTCGCTCCCTCTGTCTGGACTTTACTAGTTCACCTTTTTGAGTCTTCAAGTTGTGGGAGTCCACGCCGGGGCTGCGTATCTAGGTTGAGTCTGACGTACGGTGCGCGCTGCACTCTGTACGCCTCTTTTCTTTGGTTTCTGAATGGTAATTTGTATTGGTGCCAGCTTCGCGTTCTCCATGAGGGGGGGGGGGAGGTGCTCACGTAATTTTGCTTGAGAGGTCTGAACTCCAGCTCTTGGGTCTCGCCTCTCAACCTTTAAGTAAATGTTGTACAGGATCCCATAATGTTTTGGGATTCATCATATCTATATTTAAAAGCTGTGTATTCTATTTTTTCACTATACTGCCATCGAAAGATCTCTAGCTAATCATGTGTTCCTTCTTTCAAACCATGCATCAGAAATAGTCTGCCTTGATCTGCTTTCCTATGTTCCTGAGAGATCGGTATGCCGGAATCATGTCTCCACTGACAATTTTGTTTTCCTGTGGCGTGGATTTTTTTTTTTTAATAGTTTTTCTAGGAATTCGTAGCTGTCAACTTGAGAATTGATCTGGTTGAGAAACCTTGCATAATCATCTGATAAAAAATTTGGTATGATATAAATTTTCAAGTCTGTTTTCTCTGAGTGATAACTTGAAGGATTCTTCTCTCATTGTGCATATTGTGACCGGTCTCCTGTTCTCACCACCCTCTTAGTTACATGGCACTCACTTGAGTTAAACTCTAGTTACCATTTGTTGGACCATTTCAAAGTTTATGCAGCTCATCTAGTAGTTACTTACAATATTCCATAGAATTTATCCTCCTCCTCTACAAACATTAAGAAGGAGGAATCTTACTTCTGAGAGATTACTGATAGTAATCAGGATTACCTAAACTATATCTCAGGTAAACTCAGCACTTCCCCACCCCCCCTCTCTCTGCTCTTCCTCAAGCACCGTGACAGGCGCCTCAAGCACCGTGACAGGCGCCTCAAGCACCGTGACAGGCGCCTCAAGCACCGAGACAGGCGCCTCAAGCACCGTGACAGGCACCTCAGGCACCGTGACAGGCGCCTCAAGCACCGTGACAGGCGCCTCAAGCACCGAGACAGGCGCCTCAAGCACCGTGACAGGCGCCTCAAGCACCGAGACAGGCGCCTCAAGCACCGTGACAGGCGCCTCAGACACCGTGACAGGCGCCTCAAGCACCGAGACAGGCACCTCAAGCACCGTGACAGGCGCCTCAGACACCGTGACAGGCGCCTCAAGCACCGAGACAGGCACCTCAAGCACCGTGACAGGCGCCTCAGACACCGTGACAGGCGCCTCAAGCACCGAGACAGGCGCCTCAAGCACCGAGACAGGCGCCTCAAGCACCGAGACAGGCGCCTCAAGCACCGAGACAGGCACCTCAAGCACCGTGACAGGCACCTCAAGCACCGTGACAGGCGCCTCAAGCACCGTGACAGGCGCCTCAGACAACGTGACAGGCACCTCAAGCACCGTGACAGGCACCTCAAGCACCGTGACAGGCGCCTCAAGCACTGAGACAGGCGCCTCAGACACCGTGACAGGCACCTCAAGCACCATGACAGGCGCCTCAAGCACCGAGACAGGCGCCTCAAGCACCGTGACAGGCGCCTCAAGCACCGTGACAGGCGCCTCAAGCACCGAGACAGGCGCCTCAAGCACCGAGACAGGCGCCTCAAGCACCGAGACAGGCGCCTCAAGCACCGAGACAGGCGCCTCAGACACCGTGACAGGCGCCTCAGACACCGTGACAGGCACCTCAAGCACCGTGACAGGCACCTCAAGCACCGAGACAGGCACCTCAAGCACCGAGACAGGCGCCTCAAGCACCGAGACAGGCGCCTCAAGCACCGAGACAGGCGCCTCAAGCACCGAGACAGGCGCCTCAAGCACCGAGACAGGCGCCTCAAGCACCGAGACAGGCGCCTCAAGCACCGAGACAGGCACCTCAAGCACCGAGACAGGCACCTCAAGCACCGAGACAGGCGCCTCAAGCACCGTGACAGGCACCTCAAGCACCGAGACAGGCGCCTCAAGCACCGTGACAGGCACCTCAAGCACCGAGACAGGCGCCTCAAGCACCGAGACAGGCGCCTCAAGCACCGAGACAGGCGCCTCAAGCACCGTGACAGGCGCCTCAGACACCGAGACAGGCGCCTCAAGCACCGAGACAGGCACCTCAAGCACCGAGACAGGCACCTCAAGCACCGAGACAGGCGCCTCAAGCACCGTGACAGGCGCCTCAAGCACCGTGACAGGCGCCTCAAGCACCGTGACAGGCGCCTCAGACACCGTGACAGGCGCCTCAAGCACTGTGACAGGCACCTCAAGCTCCGAGACAGGCGCCTCAAGCACCGAGACAGGCACCTCAAGCACCGTGACAGGCGCCTCAAGCACCGTGACAGGCACCTCAAGCACCGTGACAGGCACCTCAAGCACCGAGACAGGCGCCTCAAGCACCGTGACAGGCACCTCAAGCACCGTGACAGGCGCCTCAAGCACCGTGACAGGCGCCTCAAGCACCGAGACAGGCGCCTCAAGCACCGTGACAGGCGCCTCAAGCACCGAGACAGGCGCCTCAAGCACCGTGACAGACGCCTCAAGCACCGAGACAGGCGCCTCAAGCACCGTGACAGGCACCGTGACAGGCACCTCAAGCACCGAGACAGGCGCCTCAAGCACCGTGACAGGCGCCTCAAGCACCGAGACAGGCGCCTCAAGCACCGTGACAGGCGCCTCAAGCACCGAGACAGGCGCCTCAAGCACCGTGACAGGCACCGTGACAGGCACGTCACACACCGAGACAGGCACGTCACACTCTGCCTGACCACCGTCCACCTCTCCTGGCCAACCCTTCTCGTGCATGACAAGTTCTCACGGTGTGCAGGTCGGGGTTGACGGCTGGTATTCAGGGGCCGAGGGTCGACTCCCTGCCTATGGGAGGTGTGGGTGTAGGGTAGGAGGTGCCTGAGGAAGGCAAGGAGCAGTGTGGGTAAGGTGGCCGTTGCCTCGCCACCAAAGGCCAGTAACAATGGTGACAATGGTGAAGGTGGCGGTGGTGTATGCTTCTTGAGGAGCCGACCAGAGGTGTCAGGGAGGCCTTTATCCTCCACCAGGTGTCGCCCTCACCTGACAAATGTTGGGACGATACTGATGTCCGGCCCCTGGATATTGATGGTCCGGGGGGGGCAGTGTGGGGGTGGTGGTGGTGGTGCAGTGTGGGGTGGTGGTGGTGGTGGTGCAGTGTGGGGGGTGGTGGTGGTGCAGTGTGGGGGGGGGGTGCAGTGTGGGGGTGGTGGTGGTGGTGGTGGTGCAGTGTGGGGTGGTGGTGGTGGGGCAGTGTGGGGGGGGTGGTGGTGGTGGTGCAGTGTGGGAGTGGTGGTGGTGGTGCAGTGTGGGGGGGGTGCAGTGTGGGGGTGGTGGTGGTGGTGCAGTGTGGGGGGGTGGTGGTGGTGCAGTGTGGGGGTGGTGGTGGTGGTGCAGTGTGGGGGTGGTGGTGGTGGTGCAGTGTGGGGGTGGTGGTGGTGCAGTGTGGGGGGGTGCAGTGTGGTGGTGGTGGTGGTGCAGTGTGGGGGTGGTGGTGGTGGTGCAGTGTGGGGGTGGTGGTGGTGGTGCAGTGTGGGGGTGGTGGTGGTGGTGCAGTGTGGGGGGGGTGGTGGTGGTGCAGTGTGGGGGTGGTGGTGGTGGTGCAGTGTGGGGGGGTGGTGGTGGTGGTGCAGTGTGGGGGTGGTGGTGGTGGTGCAGTGTGGGGGGGGTGGTGGTGGTGGTGCAGTGTGGGGGGGGGTGGTGGTGGTGCAGTGTGGGGTGGTGGTGCAGTGTGGGGGGGTGGTGGTGGTGCAGTGTGGGGGGGGGGTGGTGGTGGTGCAGTGTGGGGTGGTGGTGCAGTGTGGGGGGGGTGGTGGTGGTGGTGGTTTTGCAGTGTGGGGGGGGGTTGCAGTGTGGAGGTGGTGGTGGTGGTGCAGTGTGGGGGTGGTGGTGGTGGTGCAGTGTGGTGGTGGTGGTGGTGCAGTGTGGGGGTGGTGGTGGTGCAGTGTGGGGGTGGTGGTGGTGGTGGTGGTTTTGCAGTGTGGGGGGGGGTTGCAGTGTGGGGGTGGTGGTGGTGGTGCAGTGTGGGGGTGGTGGTGGTGGTGCAGTGTGGGGGTGGTGGTGGTGGTGCAGTGTGGGGGTGGTGGTGGTGGTGCAGTGCGGGGGTGGTGGTGGTGGTGCAGTGTGGTGGTGGTGGTGGTGCAGTGTGGGGGGGTGGTGGTGGTGCAGTGTGGGGTGGTGGTGGTGGTGGTGGTGGTGGTGGTGGTGCAGTGTGGGGGGGTGGTGGTGGTGGTGGTGCAGTGTGGGGGTGGTGGTGGTGGTGCAGTGTGGGGGGGGGTTGCAGTGTGGGGTGGTGGTGGTGGTGGTGGTGGTTTTGCAGTGTGGGGGGGGGGTTGCAGTGTGGGGGTGGTGGTGGTGGTGCAGTGTGGGGGTGGTGGTGGTGGTGCAGTGTGGGGGGGTGGTGGTGGTGGTGGTGGTGCAGTGTGGGGGGGGGGTGGTGGTGCAGTGTGGGGTGGTGGTGGTGGTGGTGGGGGTGGTGGTGGTGGTGCAGTGTGGGGGGGGGTGGTGGGTGGTGCAGTGTGGGTGGTGGTGGTGCAGTGTGGGGGGGTGGTGGTGGTGGTGGTGGTGCAGTGTGGGGGGGTGGTGGTGGTGCAGTGTGGGGTGGTGGTGGTGGTGGTGGTGGTGGTGGTGCAGTGTGGGGGGGGGGGTGGTGGTGCAGTGTGGGGGGGGGGGTGGTGGTGGTGGTGGTGGTGCAGTGTGGGGGTGGTGGTGGTGGTGGTGCAGTGTGGGGGTGGTGGGTGGTGGTGCAGTGTGGGGTGGTGGTGGTGGTGGTGCAGTGTGGGGGGGGGGGTGGTGGTGGTGCAGTGTGGTGGTGGGTGGTGGTGGTGGTGGTGGTGCAGTGTGGGGGTGGTGGTGGTGGTGCAGTGTGGGGTGGTGGTGGGGTGGTGGTGCAGTGTGGGGGGTGGTGGTGGTGGTGCAGTGTGGTGGTGGGTGGTGGTGGTGCAGTGTGGGGGGTGGTGGTGGTGGTGCAGTGTGGTGGTGGGTGGTGGTGGTGCAGTGTGGGGGTGGTGGTGGTGCAGTGTGGGGGGGGTGGTGGTGGTGTGTGGGGGGTGGTGGTGGTGGTGGTGGTGGTGGTGGTGGTGGGGTGGTGCAGTGTGGGGTGGTGGTGGTGGTGCAGTGTGGGGTGGTGGTGGTGGTGCAGTGTGGGGTGGTGGTGGTGGTGCAGTGTGGGGTGGTGGGTGGTGCAGTGTGGGGGTGGTGGTGGTGGTGGTGGTGGTGGTGCAGTGTGGGGGTGGTGGTGGTGTGGTGGTGGGGGTGGTGGTGGTGGTGTGGTGGGGTGGGGTGGTGGTGGTGGTGTGGGGGGGTGGTGGTGGTGGTGCAGTGTGGGGGTGGTGGTGGTGGTGGTGGTGGTGCAGTGTGGGGTGGTGGTGGTGGTGCAGTGTGGGGGTGGTGGTGGTGGTGGTGGTGGTGGTGGGGGTGGTGGTGGGTGCAGTGTGGGGTGGTGGTGGTGCAGTGGGGGGTGGTGGTGGTGGTGGTGGTGGGTGTGGGGTGGTGGTGGTGCAGTGTGGGGGTGGTGGTGGTGCAGTGTGGGGTGGTGGTGGGGTGGTGGTGCAGTGTGGGGTGGTGGTGGTGGTGGTGGGTGGTGGTGGTGGTGGGGTGTGGGGGTGGTGGTGGGTGCAGTGTGGGGTGGTGGTGGTGGTGCAGTGTGGGGGTGGTGGTGGTGGTGGTGGTGGTGCAGTGTGGGGTGGTGGTGGTGGTGCAGTGTGGGGGTGGTGGTGGTGGTGTGTGGGGGGTGGTGGTGGTGGTGGTGGTGGTGGTGTGTGGGTGGTGGTGGTGGTGGTGCAGTGTGGGGGTGGTGGTGGGGTGTGGTGGTGGGGGGTGGTGGGGTGGTGGTGGTGCAGTGTGGGGGGTGGTGGTGGTGGTGGTGGTGCAGTGTGGTGGTGGTGGTGCAGTGTGGGGTGGGGGTGGTGGTGTGGTGTGGTGGGGCAGTGGTGGGGTGTGGTGGTGGTGGTGGTGGTGCAGTGTGGGGTGGGGGGTGGTAGGGGTGGTGGTGCAGTGTGGGGGTGGGTGGTGGTGGTGGTGGTGGCAGTGTGGGGTGGTGGTGGTGGGGTGGTGGGGGTGTGGGGTGGGGTGGTGGTAGGGGTGGTGGGGCAGTGGGGTGGGTGGGTGGTGGTGGGGGTGGGGGTGGTGGTGCAGTGTGGGGGTGGTGGTGGTAGTGGTGGTGGGGCAGTGTGGGGGGTGGTGGTGCAGTGTGGGGTGGGGTGGTGGTAGTGGTGGTGGTGGGGGTGTGTGGGGTGGTGGTGGCAGTGTGGGGTGGGGGGTGGTAGGGTGGTGGTGGTGGTGGGGGGTGGTGGTGGTGTGGGGTGGGGGTGGGGGGTGGTGGTGCAGTGGTGGTGGTGGTGCAGTGTGGGGGTGGTGGGTGGTGGTGGGGCAGTGTGGGGTGGTGGTGGTGGTGGTGCAGTGGGGGTTGGGTGGTGGTGGTGGTGCAGTGTGGTGGTGGTGGTGCAGTGTGGGTGGTGGGGGGTGGTGGGGGTGGTGGTGCAGTGTGGGGGGGGTGGTGGTGGGGGTGGTGGGGCAGTGTGGGGTGGGGGTGGTGGTGGTGGTGGTGGTGCAGTGTGGGGTGGTGGTGGTGGTGCAGTGGGGGGTGGTGGTGGTGGTGGTGGTGTGTGGGGGTGGTGGTGCAGTGTGGGGTGGGGGGGTGGTAGGGGTGGTGGGGCAGTGTGGGGTGGGGGGTGGTAGGGGTGGTGGTGCAGTGTGGGGTGGGGGGTGGTAGGGGTGGTGGTGCAGTGTGGGGTGGGGGGTGGTGGGGGTGGTGGGGCAGTGTGGGGTGGGGGGTGGTAGGGGTGGTGGGGCAGTGTGGGGTGGGGGGTGGTAGGGGTGGTGGTGCAGTGTGGGGTGGGGGGTGGTAGGGGTGGTGGGGCAGTGTGGGGTGGGGGGTGGTAGGGGTGGTGGTGCAGTGTGGGGTGGGGGGTGGTAGGGGTGGTGGGGCAGTGTGGGGTGGGGGGTGGTAGGGGTGGTGGTGCAGTGTGGGGTGGGGGGTGGTAGGGGTGGTGGTGCAGTGTGGGGTGGGGGGTGGTAGGGGTGGTGGGGCAGTGTGGGGTGGGGGGTGGTAGGGGTGGTGGTGCAGTGTGGGGTGGGGGGTGGTAGGGGTGGTGGGGCAGTGTGGGGTGGGGGGTGGTAGGGGTGGTGGTGCAGTGTGGGGTGGGGGGTGGTAGGGGTGGTGGGGCAGTGTGGGGTGGGGGGTGGTAGGGGTGGTGGGGCAGTGTGGGGTGGGGGGTGGTAGGGGTGGTGGGGCAGTGTGGGGTGGGGGGTGGTAGGGGTGGTGGTGCAGTGTGGGGTGGGGGGTGGTAGGGGTGGTGGGGCAGTGTGGGGTGGGGGGTGGTAGGGGTGGTGGTGCAGTGTGGGGTGGGGGGTGGTAGGGGTGGTGGTGCAGTGTGGGGTGGGGGGTGGTAGGGGTGGTGGGGCAGTGTGGGGTGGGGGGTGGTAGGGGTGGTGGTGCAGTGTGGGGTGGGGGGTGGTAGGGGTGGTGGTGCAGTGTGGGGTGGGGGGGGTGGTAGGGGTGGTGGTGCAGTGTGGGGTGGGGGGTGGTAGGGGTGGTGGGGCAGTGTTGGGTGGGGGGTGGTAGGGGTGGTGGGGCAGTGTGGGGTGGGGGGTGGTAGGGGTGGTGGGGCAGTGTGGGGTGGGGGGTGGTGGTGGTGGTGGTGGGGCAGTGTGGGGTGGGGGGTGGTAGGGGTGGTGGGGGTGGTAGGGGTGGTGGGGGGTGGTGGGGGTGGTGGGGCAGTGTGGTGGAAATGTCCAACACATATTCATCATTTTAGTACGTCGATAAATCATCCTTGTACTAACAACAGTAATTTACTAATATTACTAACTTGTAGATTAACCATATTAATTAATTCCTTTCCTGCTGCGTAATTGTTTACGAACAGCAGCAGAACATTTACCAACAGCAGCAGCACCAACAGCAGCAGCACCAACAGCAGCAGCACCAACAGAACAGCAGCACCAACAGCAGCAGCACCAACAACAGCAGCACCAACAGAACAGCAGCACCAACAGAACAGCAGCACCAACAGCAGCAGCACCAACAGCAGCAGCACCAACAACAGCAGCACCAACAGAACAGCAGCACCAACAGAACAGCAGCACCAACAGAACAGCAGCACCAACAGAACAGCAGCACCAACAGAACAGCAGCACCAACAGCAGCAGCACCAACAGCAGCAGCACCAACAGAACAGCAGTACCAACAGCAGCAGCACCAACAGCAGCAGCACCAACAGCAGCAGCACCAACAGCAGCAGCACCAACAGAACAGCAGCACCAACAGAACAGCAGCACCAACAGCAGCAGCACCAACAGCAGCAGCACCAACAGCAGCAGCACCAACAGAACAGCAGTACCAACAGCAGCAGCACCAACAGCAGCAGCACCAACAACAGCAGCACCAACAGAACAGCAGCACCAACAGAACAGCAGCACCAACAGAACAGCAGCACCAACAGAACAGCAGCACCAACAGAACAGCAGCACCAACAGCAGCAGCACCAACAGCAGCAGCACCAACAGCAGCAGCACCAACAGAACAGCAGTACCAACAGCAGCAGCACCAACAGCAGCAGCACCAACAGCAGCAGCACCAACAGAACAGCAGCACCAACAGAACAGCAGCACCAACAGCAGCAGCACCAACAAAACAGCACCAACAGAACAGCAGCACCAACAGCAGCAGCACCAACAGAACAGCAGCACCAACAGAACTGCAGCACCAACAGCAGCAGCACCAACAACAGCAGCACCAACAGAACAGCAGCACCAACAGAACAGCAGCACCAACAGAACAGCAGCACCAACAGCAGCAGCACCAACAGCAGCAGCACCAACAGCAGCAGCACTAACAGCAGCAGCACTAACAGCAGCAGCACCAACAGAACAGCAGCACCAACAGAACAGCAGCACCAACAGAACAGCAGCACCAACAGAACAGCAGCACCAACAGCAGCAGCACCAACAGCAGCAGCACCAACAGAACAGCAGCACCAACAGCAGCAGCACCAACAGAACAGCAGCACCAACAGAACAGCAGTACCAACAGAACAGCAGCACCAACAGCAGCAGCACCAACAGCAGCAGCACCAACAGCAGCAGCACCAACAGCAGCAGCACCAACAGAACAGCAGCACCAACAGCAGCAGCACCAACAGAACAGCAGCACCAACAGCAGCAGCACTAACAGAACAGCAGCACCAACAGCAGCAGCACCAACAGAACAGCAGCACCAACAGAACAGCAGCACCAACAGAACAGCAGTACCAACAGCAGCAGCACCAACAGAACAGCAGCACCAACAGAACAGCAGCACCAACAGCAGCAGCACCAACAGAACAGCAGTACCAACAGAACAGCAGCACCAACAGAACAGCAGCACCAACAGAACAGCAGCACCAACAGAACAGCAGCACCAACAGAACAGCAGCACCAACAGAACAGCAGCACCAACAGCAGCAGCACCAACAGCAGCAGTACCAACAGAGCAGCAGCACCAACAGAACAGCAGCACCAACAGAACAGCAGCACCAACAGCAGCAGCACCAACAGAACAGCACCACCAACAGCAGCAGCACCAACAGAACAGCACCACCAACAGCAGCAGCACCAACAGAACAGCACCACCAACAAAACAGCACCAACAGAACAGCACCACCAACAAAACAGCACCAACAAAACAGCACCAACAGAACAGCACCACCAACAGCAGCACCACCAACAGCAGCAGCACCAACAGCAGCAGCACCAACAAAACAGCACCAACAAAACAGCACCAACAAAACAGCACCAACAGAACAGCACCACCAACAAAACAGCACCAACAGAACAGCACCACCAACAGCAGCACCACCAACAGCAGCAGCACCAACAAAACAGCATCACCAACACAAGTAGTAAGATAACAGCAGCAACACCTGCAGCACCGTGTGCAGCACCGGACCCACCATTAACAGCAGGGAGAGAGGCAGCAGCAGCAGGTGTGGGCGTCAGTGGCACGGAAAGAGAGAGAGGGCGGGCGTGCGGGCGGCCGGCCCAGGCTCCCCAGATTAATGGTATGGAAGAGAATTTGACGCCAGGCCCTGCTAATGGAGGTCAGCCGCCCCCTTGACGCTGTCACTTGCTGAAGCTGTTGTCCCTGCTGAGGGCTTCCTGCCTGCTAAGGGCTTCCTGCCTGCTGAGGGCTTCATGCCTGCTGAGGGCTTCATGCCTGCTGAGGGCTTCATGCCTGCTGAGGGCTTCATGTCTGCTGAGGGCTTCATGCCTGCTGAGGGCTTCATGCCTGCTGAGGGCTTTCTGCCTGCTGAGGGCTTCCTGCCTGCTGAGGGCTTCCTGTCTGCTGAGGGCTTCCTGCCTGCTGAGGGCTTCGTGTCTGCTGAGGGCATCGTGTCTGCTGAGAGCTTCATGCCTGCTGAGAGCTTCCTGCCTGCTGAGGGCTTCATGCGTGCTGAGGGCTTCCTGCCTGCTGAGGGCTTCATGCTTGCTGAGGGCTTCATGCCTGCTGAGGGCTTCATGCCTGCTGAGGGCTTCATGCCTGCTGAGGGCTTCATGCCTGCTGAGGGCTTTGTGCCTGTTGAGGGCTTCATGCTTGCTGAGGGCTTCATGCCTGCTGAGGGGCTTCATACCTGCTGAGGGCTTCATGCCTGCTGAGGGCTTCATGCCTGCTGAGGGCTTCATGCCTGCTGAGGGCTTCGTGCCTGCTGAGAGCTTCATGCCTGCTGAGGGCTTCATGCCTGCTGAGGGCTTCATGCCTGCTGAGGGCTTCGTGCCTGCTGAGGGCTTCATGCCTGCTGAGGGCTTCATGCCTGCTGAGGGCTTCATACCTGCTGAGGGCTTCATGCCTGCTGAGGGCTTCGTGCCTGCTGAGGGCTTCATGCCTGCTGAGGGGCTTCATACCTGCTGAGGGCTTCATGCCTGCTGAGGACTTCCTGCCTGCTTAGGGGCTTCATGCCTGCTGAGGGGCTTTGTGCCTGCTGAGAACTTCCTGCCTGCTTAGGGGCTTCATGCCTGCTGAGGGCTTCCTGCCTGCTGAGGGCTTCCTGCCTGCTGAGGACTTCCTGCCTGCTTAGGGGCTTCATGCCTGCTGAGGGGCTTTGTGCCTGCTGAGGGCTTCATGCCTGCTGAGGGCTTCATGCCTGCTGAGGGCTTCATGCCTGCTGAGAGCTTCATGCCTGCTGAGGGCTTCATGCCTGCTGAGAGCTTCATGCCTGCTGAGGGCTTCATACCTGCTGAGGGCTTCATGCCTGCTGAGGGCTTCATGCCTGCTGAGGGCTTTATGCCTGCTGAGGGCTTCATGCCTGCTGAGGGCTTCATGCCTGCTGAGAGCTTCATGCCTGCTGAGGGCTTCATGCCTGCTGAGGGCTTCATGCCTGCTGAGGGCTTCATGCCTGCTGAGGGCTTCGTGCCTGCTGAGGGCTTCATGCCTGCTGAGGGGCTTCATACCTGCTGAGGGCTTCCTGCCTGCTTAGGGGCTTCATGCCTGCTGAGGGCTTCCTGCCTGCTGAGGGCTTCATGCCTGCCGAGGACTTCCTGCCTGCTTAGGGGCTTCATGCCTGCTGAGGGCTTCCTGCCTGCTGAGGGCTTCCTGCCTGCTGAGTACTTCATGCCTGCTGAGGGCTTCGTGCCTGCTGAGGGCTTCCTGCCTGCTGAGGGCTTCCTGCCTGCTGAGTACTTCATGCCTGCTGTGGGCTTCCTGCCTGCTGAGTACTTCATGCCTGCTGAGGGCTTTCTGCCTGCTGAGGGCTTCCTGCCTGCTGAGGGCTTCCTGCCTGCTGAGGGCTTCCTGTCTGCTGAGGGCTTCATGCCTGCTGAGGGCTTCTTGCCTGCTGAGGGCTTCCTGCCTTCTGAGGGCTTCTTGCCTGCTGAGGGCTTCCTGCCTGCTGAGTACTTCATGCCTGCTGAGGGCTTCCTGCCTGCTGAGTACTTCATGCCTGCTGAGGGCTTTCTGCCTGCTGAGGGCTTCCTGCCTGCTGAGGGCTTCCTGCTTGCTGAGGGCTTCCTGCCTGCTGAGGGCTTCTTGCCTGCTGAGGGCTTCCTGTCTGCTGAGGGCTTCATGCCTGCTGAGGGCTTCTTGCCTGCTGAGGGCTTCCTGCCTTCTGAGGGCTTCTTGCCTGCTGAGGGCTTCATGCCTGCTGAGGGCTTCGTGCCTGCTGAGGGCTTCATGCCTGCTGAGGGCTTCTTGCCTGCTGAGGGTTTCTTGCCTGCTGAGGGCTTCTTGCCTGCTGAGGGTTTCTTGCCTGCTGAGGGCTTCTTGCCTGCTGAGGGTTTCTTGCCTGCTGAGGGCTTCTTGCCTGCTGAGGGTTTCTTGCCTGCTGAGGGCTTCATGCCTGCTGAGGGCTTCGTGCCTGCTGAGGGCTTCGTGCCTGCTGAGGGCTTCGTGCCTGCTGAGGGCTTCGTGCCTGCTGAGGGCTTCGTGCCTGCTGAGGGCTTCGTGCCTGCTGAGGGGCTTCGTGCCTGCTGTCAGGTTGTTCTCCGGCAGTTTAGTCAGAGTATCAGCGGACACTGGCTTCACGGGTCTCTAGAAGTATACCAACATTATATATCAGTACATACGCTAACATGCAATCTTGCACGCTTGCATTCTCGCACCTCAACGTCCCTGCACAACCGGTTCCTGCAACCCGTCCCCCCCCCCCACCCCTAA